CACACAAAATTTAATACATTTGTAATACAGTAATGAACTAACAATTTGCAACAAATTATTCATCCTAACTCTGGAGGTCCAGGAGATAGAATACCTTAGATATGCATTTGTATAAACTGAAATTAAATAAATTAAAATTAGATATTGACATCATCATTTACCTATAATACAACTCATGCCTTAGCTAGTTTAAATTCCAATATTTTTGAATTTGCTAAAATAGATGCGTTAGTTAGAAAAGATCTGGCTGTTACATTTCCCTTGTTTCTCAATTCCTTATGATTGCAAATTATAGCAATTAGAATCTACATCTTAAATTATAGCAATTAGAATCTACATCTTAAATTATAGCAATTAGAATCTACATCTTAAATTATAGCAATTAGAATCTACATCTTAAATTATAGCAATTAGAATCTACATCTTAAATTATAGCAATTAGAATCTACATCTTAAATTATAGCAATTAGAATCTACATCTTAAATTATAGCAATTAGAATCTACATCTTAAATTATAGCAATTAGAATCTACATCTTAAATTATAGCAATTAGAATCTACATCTTAAATTATAGCAATTAGAATCTACATCTTAAATTATAGCAATTAGAATCTACATCTTAAATTATAGCAATTAGAATCTACATCTTAAATTATAGCAATTAGAATCTACATCTTAAATTATAGCAATTAGAATCTACATCTTAACTTACCAATAGAAAGGAAAATTAAGACATTAAGGGATTAAAACTGACCTTTCCCTCAAGTTGCTTGTAGTTTTCCCCACATGAGCAGCTACAGCTGTCTGGATCTACAATTTTTAAGGAAGTTTCAAGATTAAGACAATCTCTGTCCTTTTTAATCAGTCTTTTTCTCTTGTTTTCCTCTGCTTTAACCTTATTTTACTCTTTACTCTTAAATTATGAACAATTTACAAATTTTGAAACACCATAAGCATACTTGGACAAAAGAAAGTCCTTTTAATACTTACATATATATATAAATAAAACAGAACACGAAGACTAGTATAATCGGCTAGCGATATATATACCTCATTTGAGCACTCTGCTTCTGTGTCACTGTCCATGTTCATGGGGAGACTTCTAAAGATATAAAATAATACATGTAGGTTTTACAAAAAACTGAAATTACTACCACAGGTCTCGGTGTTGGCCGTCCTTTCCTTGACTTTAATTTCTTGATTACTGGTAAATCAAGTTCCCCGGCATCTGATGTATCAGACTCACTATTCTGCATAGGTCTCTTCTGTTTCTAAACAAAAATGTAATAATAAATTGGCAGAATAAATACCTGTATATATTGACTAGGTTAGCTCAACAAAACAAGAAAGGCTGGATGGTTAATTTGCATACTTGCCACCTATTAGGTGCGCGACTGACCTTCAAAGGTCAGAACACGCTAAGCGTGCATGACCCCTGCACCCAGAGGTCACCTATAAAAGGCATGACAACTCGTGCCAGCTCACTCATTCAAAGATAATCCTTTGTTGGCAAACTGACCAGACTAAAGGGTGGGAAAACCCGATAGGTTGTGGAGGGTAACTTAACTGTCCAGCCTTCGAGCTTTCATTACGGAGAATCCCTCTCATCCATCGCAAGCTTGGATGAGGAGGGGAATTCTCCTACATTTCAAGCCCTACGGCTTATCCGGTTAATTTGACAACAAACATCATTTAATATGAACACTAATAGAGAACCCAAGATAAAAAAACTTAGTTCAATTATTTAATCATGTAAAATTTACAAATAAATTCAAAATTCATATCTTCGCCACTTCTACACGGCCACTGTTGCACCCCCAAAGTTCATAGGGTTCCTGTTTGCTGCAACACACCCTCAGCGAACGAAGTATCTGCTGTAGGTTCCACATCCTGTAGGTAAAACTTCCGGAATGTTTGAGCCAATCTCCATGATGTGGTTTCCAAAATCGCCTTCAGTGAAGTTCCAGCCGAAAAGGCAGCAGATGACGCTGCTCCTCTCACCGAATGTGGCTTGAATCCCTCATTCACTCCTGCCTCTAGCTGTCATGGCACTGCGAATCCACCTCGCCAACATGGACGTGGATACCGATGTCCCCTGTTTGAAAGAGACTAATTATAAAATCATCGTAATCCTTGCCCTCGTGCAAGTGCTCAGTCTTTTCTCGTTCTGTGATTCTATAGAACAAACCTGATAATCTAACCGCTCTCAAAGCAGAGGTAAATAGACCTACCAAACTTGCCAACTCCCTTAACCTGACTTGACTTTTGTCTAATACCGTCTTGCATTATTTACTTATCTTTTCTATCTTTTCCTTAGGAAGAGATACTGTGAAAGCAATCGAATCGATCAGATAACCAAGATGAACCATAACATTGTTCGCCACCATCATAGACTTCTCGTGATTAATTTGGAAACCTGCCTGTACGAAGTTGTTAGCCAACATCTCACAATTGCTTTCGCACACCTCTTTATCTCTATCCTTGACCAAAGAGTCATCAATGTAATAAAATGCTACTACCCCCAGGCTCCGTACTTTAGCAAATATAGGTTTCAAAACCTTAGTGAAGACCCGAGGGGCGCTAGTAAGGCCAAAAGGTAAAGATATAAACTCATAGAGACAACCTCTCCCTCCATCTAAATTTAAGATATTTCCTCTCTTCCTCATCAACCGGTATGCTTAAATATGCATCCTTTAAGTCTTATCGACGTGAAGAAATCGCCTCTTTCCACAGACTTGAGTACCACCTCTAGTGTTTCCTGTTTAAAATGGTGATATACAATTCACTCATTTAATTTCCTTAAATTTATGTTGAACAAATAACTATGAGAGTGATATACATATTTATTACTTATACATCAACAACATACATCTTCATCTTATAATCAAGTAACCAATAACATATATTTTGGCGTAAGGGGCAAACTCGGTTGTAAACAAACCCTACATTACAATATACATACTAGTACATGTATACATGTCCTTTGTTCCTCCAAGTGGATCTAATCGTGAAATGTGCAGGTAGTAGTTACTGCATCGCATATATATTGTATATGGTTGAAGTAGTGTACATATGATCAGGAGGAACAAAGGTCATGTAGAAATGGGTAAATTCAATGGCCTCAACTCGGTGTAGGCGAGCGGATTCTAGACTATCTATGTGTAGTCTCGCTACACGAGTAAATAGTGCTAGGCATTGCTACAAGAGCCAGAAGAGACTTATTGAATCCATACCCCTCAACTCGGTGTAGTATGTGTTTGTATAGCTACAAGAGCCGGAAGAGGGGTATGCCCTTATATATGGACAATCTATAGCTAGACGTCCTCAACTCGGTGTAGCGGAGCTATCAAGAGCCGGAAGAGGAGAGCTAGAGAGACTGCATTAGTGCCATATCCTCAATGTAGCGGTGCTGCCACAAGCTGGGATATAGGATTGGATTATCTGAATATGGATATGAAGTAGAAATTTTGGGGAGTTTAATTATTAATTGTTTGATTCCAATTTGAAAAATAATAAATAAATAAAGTATGCCAAAAACTCGAGGGTGTGACCGTAGGGAATAGACTGAGTTGCCCCAAAATGTATACATTATATAGTTATAAGGCAAGATATAAATATGGATATATCTATCAGTGATAGTGGAACTCGTTACCGACTTGTATTCCTATATAGGACTCTCCATTCGAGGTCCCACAAGTGTTCTATGTGATAAACCTGTTCGATTGAAGGTGATGTTAGGGCTTGTCTGAAGGTTATACTAAATCACTGATCTATACATCCATGCTTATATTATATAATTATCACTGATCTATACATCCATGCTTATATTATATAATTATGACACAATGAGAGATCTTTGAGCATCTCTAACAGTCGATATCGGTGTCTTTATATAACGACAGTAGTCGTCCGAAGACCATCTGCCTAGGGTCTTGATCATGTGATCTTCCATGTGAACCGAAGCAGCTGAAGTTGCTGCACCGATTCTGAAGGAATGTCCATTGTAGGTGCTAGAGTCAATGTCTATACACTCCAAGGTGTGTTTTAGCATGGCAATGAACATTGACCTAGATAATACGCGTCCTTCATGGTTCACGAAAAGTGGGTCAGTTGGCAATGGATTTTCACGAAGTCTATGGTTCTTATATTTACAGCAGAGTGTGAATGGACATATGGGGTGGTTGGTTCTGAATAGTCTGATAGTTACACCGTTCCTCAAGGGGTCTGTTTTGGATCTTTTAAGTGTCAGAAGTACACATTCTGTAGAAATTACCAAGTCTTGAACACAGAGGTGTACCGTATGATCAAATTTGTCTGTCACTGTGAATTCGCCACATCGTAGGAAGCCGAAAAATGCTACAGTGCATACTGTTTCTAACAGTAAGTGGTCAAATCCACGCGTTCTCAAGTGAGCACATATCCTCTGTAGAATTTTGAATGTTATTGGATGTCATGGTTTGGTTTTCCTCACTTGTAGTTGCTTTACTCCATTTAGGATGGCATGAAGGCGGGGCATCTCCTGTGAATTTGGGTAGTGGATGTTGTTCTGAATGCACATGAATCGAATTCCACACATGTAGAGTTTAATTGTGGTATATGCGATTTGACTATTAAAGCAGTATGCCACAGACTGAATCAGTTGTCCCTCAGACACAGGTAAGCTTGGTGAGTGCACTATAGTTATAAGGCCAACATATAACAAGAATTGTACATACTTATTAACACCAGATTCATATGTCCTCCTTAGTAGTGGGGGCTATGGAGGCGGACCATAACTCCTGAATCACTGGTTCGAATTCCACATTACGGATGTTGGTAAGGGTACCTTGCACGGGAAACGGGCTGCGTAGGGTGCCAGTCGTCGGAATCGGGCTATCTGCAATCGAGACAGAGAATCAGCAATATTGTTAAGATGACCAGGGACATGTTTAGACAACACGGTAAAGTTAAATGTACAGGCACACAAGGTTAGTCGACGAACGGCATGATGTGAGGAGACTTGGACCTTCCTTTACTTAGAATAGCCACGGTGGCAGCATTGTCACACATGAAAACGATACGTTGGCCTACCCACAAGTGGCCCCAAATTAAGGCTGCAACTACAATCGGGTACAGTTCTTGAAAGGCTATGGATAGTTCATTATTGTTTGCGTATGGGTTGTCTAAATCGTGCGGCCATGTTTCAGCAAACCATAATCCTCTGAAATAACCACCATACCCGAGAGTTCCAGAGGCGTCTGTGTACATGCAGGCATATCTCGTCTGAAGTAACCACTTTGTTGTTATAGAAGACAGAGACGCCGTTCCAGTTGGATAGGAAATAAATCCACATCTTGATGTCTTCCCTACATTCGTTATTGAGTTTCACGTAGTAATGTAGCGCCTTGACAGTGGTAGACAAAGTGATTAATTGCGACACGAAAGAACGACCTTGAATCACGACCCGGCTGGCAAAGTTTAGATGTCCTAAGAGTTGGAGCAGTTCTCTCTTAGTGCACGAGTGTCGTTGTTGAAATGACTGTAATGAACTAATAATTCTGTCCAGTTTATCCTCAGGTAACCTGGCCTCCATATTTTCAGAGTCGAGCACTATACCTAGGTATTCCATCACCGTATTTGGTCCACTTGTCATGTGTTTAGCCATAGGGATACCTAGTCTGTTGAAAATGTGAAGTCGTCATCTCCGTATATCAAACTCAAACCCATCGGGTCCATGTCTAAAATTGGTATCGTAATGCGTGGTACCACCGGTACGTTCTGTACCAAATTATCCCCAGAACCTCGATGTTGAAGGGCCATGTTCCGCTCTCCGCACTTGTCAGGATGTTCGAACGTGATAAAATCATCGAGCAGGTGGAGGATATGTTCCACACCATAACAATTTTCAGCTATCCAACATACTGCTTGAGATAGAGTGTCAAATATTTTTGGACTAGATCTGCACACAAATGCGAGTTTGTTATAGAAATAATAGCTGCCGTTCCATTTGATGCAAAACATGTGCCACTGAGTTGGTACCACTGGTATGATCTTAAAGGCGTCCGAAATGTCTGTTTTACACATAGTAGTCCCTTTTCCTAATGTTTGTAATTTCTGGATTGCATCATCTACACGAACATATGTTAGAGAGCATGAATCTTTGTCTATTAATTCGTTTACTCTTGGATGCTGGTCATCTTCATGAGGCGCAGATAAGTCTACAATAAGTCGTGTTTTTCCGGAATATTTCCCAAATGAGACCCCTATAGGGCTTACTCTGTATGGCTCAAACAGCAATTGTTGAAAAGGTCCTTCCAAAAAAAAACTCACTCAATTCATTTTGTACTAGCATGTCTACAACTTCTGGTTGTGTGGTAGCTGAAAGAAGGTTCTTACATTCTTTGGTTTGAAGTTGAGTATGTGATACAAGTGTATCAAAGCCTGCTGACAAACCCTGACACAAATAATCGACAAATGTCTGATCCGGGTGTAATTTCAAATCGTCCCTAAGTTTTTCGATATTTACTGGTGTATAAACCGTGTTCTCCAGTCATTGTTGCGGAGCTCCTTGTTTCGAACGTTGTCCTTGAATGCTGGACGCATTCCTACATGTATCCGCACCGTGACTAGGTGATTTACACAAGGTACAGGCATGGAAAAAATAGCAGGAGTCTCCTCGAGGGCATTTCCCTGTGTTGTAATTGTTACACACTTCTTTTCCATTCACTTTTATTTTCTGACGACCATGTTTGTCTAGCTCCTTACTCGGACCTTGTTGAGGACGGCCATTACCACTGGCACTGTACATGTGCTTCCTTTGGCGTTGTTGTGGACAAAAGGGGTAGTGTGTGATGTCAAGTTGCATAGTTGACAGGAATTTACCCTGGTGTTGCCCATTATCATTGTTAACATGCTGCTGTCTTTGATGGCCCAGTCTACTTTGGTGTTGTTATCTTTAAGGGCTGCCGCTGCCCTTGCCGAAAATTGACAGTGGTAATCATAGAACTTTTGGCCGTAAACATTGGCTATGTCTATTATGTTGGCCTCGTATCTATCAAGTTCCACTCTTCGTTTTGGGAATTTCCTACACATCGTCCTCTTATATTTCCCGAACGC